CTTCCAACTGTTGAACCAGACTTTAAACTGGCCTATCGCCTCAGAATTGGATTATGCGACAGACTCAGAGGATGAGGATGCCATGTTCAGCCAGGCACGTACGGATCTTGTACGTCAGCGCTCCACGAAGTGGCGAGCTACAGGCCATTCCGGTCTTCAAATGAAACGCAGCAAGCACGTCATCAGTCACAACACACCACAGGACCAGATGCGACGAAGTCACCGACGTCTGTGGATGCATATTGCCGGTGTACTCACCTGTGGACGGCTTCCGAAATCTCTGATGGCCGCGGTCGTGAAGTACGCCCATATATTCTGGGGCTGTTTATGGGCTAGGAAGATCCTTTAATTTTTGCAAGCCTTTATTTATTAGTACCCTGGCACAGTAACCACATTTAATTGTTTATTTTCAGACATATTCGTCTTAACGCTCCCCGTCGCTCCCTGCGGTTTTGCGAGGACCGCATCGTGACAGCCCCCACACCTGTTCGCCTTTATCCACCCTCTCTCCTTGAGTGGCGAGTTAACTACACGGGCACAAACATGGCCCTCTTCCTCACCTACCCTGACGGTGAGGCCCAAGAAGAAGTTTACTTTGCTAATGCCAATTTCGCTCATTCACTTGTTCTCTGTTCTTCGTCTACCGCCTCTAGCCCGTCGAACACAATTGAGTTAGCCAGTACTCCAAAAGTTCTGGTTGCATACTTTACATAGTGTAGATGGGGCATTTACAGACAGAACAATTTATTGATCGTTTAATCGAAGGTAGAAGATTCCCTAACTTTATTGTTATGTTGCAAATGCGGGATCAGTTTCCAATGTATACGTGCACATTTTTCTTTGCTGGCCCCTTATGAATATCTAGAGATTCCTTCATTGTTCCGCAAATGTGGGTTACCCGTGGTCTGAACGTGTTTGAGTCCTCTTTAATATAGCAAGACGTTTCGAGCGTTTTCTGCAGGAGACCATGTGTTGAGGTCGATTATAAATGTAGTCCTTGCGTTGGCTCTGGCATTTTTGCTGCTCCTAGATCCACTAAACAAATCGGGCGATCTTCCTTGTTTGGTGTACCAGAAACCTTTGATCATAAAATATTCTAAAAAGATGTGGGCCTTCTATGAGTCACATTTCACACTTGGTACGCTTTGTACTATGGAAAAGAATCGTGATCTTTTAGCTTGGTTGCCTCTGTAGGTCCTTCGCATTCTGTCTGTGTTAGTTTCGGTAAAAAACGATCACATATGATTATCAAGAGCTATCTGCGCAGGTCAGAATCTATAGATTTCAAGGAAACCTCACCAGCTGTTCGAGTTTGGCTTAACGAACTTCACAGTTTTCTGCAAATTTATGAGAAAGCACACCTGGTCTGCCTCTGGTTACAATTTTTTCGGCTAATCTTTTCCGTCGAACTGCCTACTATATAATGTTGTCATTTGCAAAGGAACACTGCATTAAGGTGGAAGCCTTCCCTGCCCTTGGATTTATCGTCAATATTATTTTCTTGCGACTCCTTTTTGCCGCATGTCCGGAGACATTTTTGTGGAATACATCTTACTATCTAATAACTTGTTATTGTTCATATGTTTTATTGCGACTTTATTTATTATCAGGCACAACGGCGAACATCCATACTCTTTGCTTCAGCAGGGCGGACGAACTGGCAAATCAGGCAATCAGCTTGAAGTAAGTCTTGTGTTGTTACTTAACTCTCTTTTCACTACGTATCCTCCGTAAAATATCTATTACTAATCAAAAAGAGGAATAGGGCTGAGCGGGAAGGCCTATTTTCTTTCTGACTTCACATGTAGCGCAATCGGCTGCCAATTTTGAAAGACCGGAATGTCCTGTACATAGCTGGCAATATAAGATCCACAGTTCGTATTTGCATCCTCCCGACTGTGGTGCAACAGGAAGGACCCGATTCGCTGCAGTTTGTGTTGTCCTGCTCTATTCTGCCGTTACAAAAATCAATGGCTTCAAATGTTTCCCCCTTTTTATACCCGAGATTCTTTCTCAATGTCAAGCATGTTTTTCCTGGTTTAATGCCTTGCACCCTAAATAAGCATTTCTTTTGTGTCTATCTTTTGATCGGAAGAACGCTTGTTTTTTCACTCGTACAAAGTAACGTTTAATGGCTGCTTGTAACGAACGAACGGATTAAAACAACACCAAAATGGTAGTAGTTAGAATGCATTAGTGTGGAACCGATTCTACAGAAGTGGCATGTGCTTAACAGTTTTAGATCTGCACGAAGGCGTAAAGGCGACTCGATCTGTTACGTCTAAATTCTGGTTCAGTGGGCCTTCCGTTTTTGCATGATTACTTGTGGACGCTAAGACACATTATTTCCAATTGGTCGTTCTGTCTTAATAAGTTTTTCAATGTTCTTCCGTTGCTACATTCATTTCGAATAATTCAGCTTACTGATTATTTCTTTTGCCAACAACTGTCCAATTCATGTACTTGCCGTCTTAAGCAGGTAGCGATGGTTGCACGTTCATTTCGTGTTTGGAATCTCTAAAATTTTCCTACTGTCTTTATCTGGGTATGCTGTCTGGGTTTGGAAGGAAGTTTCTTCAAGCTACGCTATAGTGATAACTACATTTCCCTTGTCACCCGGAACGTCTCGAATTGATACCTCTGAGTTCACAGCTTTACCTTGTGCCAGAAATTTACACTTGTTAAATAAACCAGTCAGTTTTCATCTGAGAAATGCGACAAAATCCCAATTTTACATACAAAGTAAAATTTTACGATACA